AGGACACACTATTTTCCTGGGATAAGGTAGGTGACTTTTCCTCAAGGGTAAAATTATGGCCAGGTTCTTTTGCTTCCCAAGACCCTGATTTAATTTCCCTCCTCTTGCTAGCGAGTTCATCTTTCTGACCTTGAATGAATGAACAGGGATTGAAGTATACATGGAGGCTGGGACCAAGCTGTGCTAGGGTTACATCTTGATGCTGCTGTTATATGTCACCTTGTGGAAGAAAAGTAATGAAACCCCGCCCCGATGGCAGTCATGGTGTATCTCATACCCGCTCATTCCTCCCAGACTCTGGTTCCGGAAGGTCAACCCTGGATGGCATCTGTGGTGTCTACCCTGCCCTCGGTAGATCCACTCACACCTGGGTCCATGAAGGAGGGCTGCCTGGCTTGTAATGGTGGTGTTCTCCATGCCCGCTCATCCTTCACCACACGCTCAGTCTTACGAATACAAGGCCTGGATGGCAAGTTAGTGATGCACACAAACATTCACCATTCACACTCCGGTTCATGAAAAGGCGGTGTCACGGTTGCCAGAGCCAAACCTTCCATGCCCTCTCACATTCTTTCCTCCCTTTTCAGCTCAGTCTCCCCTATTCTACCATTCTGTCCACTGTGCACACCAGGCCCCTCCCTCGCGGCCAAGGCTGCACGACTCCACCCTTCACCGCATCCTGCAGAGGCAGAGGCCAGCCCATAGGAGTCTGTCTGGCCAGAACGGCTGGACAGCTCTCTGAGGATGTCCTGCTAGGCTGAGATCACACAGGGCTGTAGGGAGTAGAGCGGGTGAGAGCCAACAGACAGAAAGAGGCCTGTGAAGAAGGCTTGGAAGAAGACAGCAGATAGACAGGCCCAGCAACCCTCATGGTAAATCTCAGTAGAACAGCCCCTGCCAACACAGCTGAGCCAAATCCTGAGCTCATCTGAATGGCTTCTGTCCCAAGCCTGAGTCACTGGGGATTCCACGGACTTCTACGTTTACCCTCCGTGAATTTCTGAAAACAAACTGCTTGATGCTGTCATGGAAAACCTGGATCTTTGCATTCTACAGTTTCACTATGGATTACATCCAGGTCACAACCTAAGGAAGACAGCTGGCAAAAGCCAGGCCTGCTGGCTGGTTACCCAGCATTTGTAATGAATCCCAGAGGAATCTGAACCCATGTGTGAGGCTGGCTCTGCCAAGACTCAGCCATGCGCTCCTCCAGTGCAGGCTAGTCTGAAGTCTCTGCTGCCAGGGGAGCATGAGCAGCCACCTGCAGCCAGACTCAAGCGTGGATGCTGCCTCCAGGCAGAGAGCACAGGGAAGTAGACATGTGGGAGAGAGGAAGACGTGCACCATGCTCCATTTCTGAGAACTGTGTCTAATATAATCAAATGGCCCAAGGTCTCAGGCTGGCCCTGCACCTGCACCCTCCAACCTCATCCTAGGCAGCCAATCATGAACCAGAGGACAGTACCATCCAGATAATGCAGGATTTGAGGACAATAAGGCCAATTCCAAAGGCTTATAAAATGTACCCTATTCTGTAGAACACATCAATTCTTAGAAACACAAAACATCCAAAAACTTGGCAGGAAAGCAGGAACACTTTCATAGTCACCACAGAGCTACCATGATTTCCTAAATGCCAAACATCATGATTGTCTTGCTAACATATTGTCTAATTTAATCCTAAAACAACCTTGAGCTATGCACTAGGATTATATCTGTTTCCAAGTGAGCAAATCTGGAGCTTAGAGAAGTGGCTAAAACTGGCCAGTGTTTTCATAGCCCTAAGTAAGTCCTAACTCCAGTGCCGGCCTGAGGTGACTGCTCAAAACAGGTCTTCTGTGTGAAGGTAGGGATGAACAGCTTCCTGCCTGCCATTCTGCATATTCAGTTAACTGTAGTTGTTGCATCTAAAACAGCAGGTAGCAATTTCTACTGAGGTCGAGTCTTTCACGCGAAGTTCTGAAGCTAAAGCATCAATATTTTAAATGTATGTTTTGTTCTGAGGGAGGGTCTTGATGTGTAGCCCAGGCTGGGCTTTAGCTTATTGATCCTCTCCCAAGTGCTTGGATTACAGACATGCTGCCACATCCACTTCATGGTGTATATTTCTACATAAGCCCGTGGACTATTTATTTTTTTTAAATTAGGTGCGCCTAGGCAATATGCTTTTGTCGTCTCATATTTTATGTTCAGCCAGTCGCTTTTTAAAGTGTCATTGTTCTAACAAGCTAAGAAAAAATACTCCAGCACTAGCTTCCTTGCTATTCATTTGCTTCACTACAGCAGACCACAAGGGGGCAGAGTAGAGTAATGCCTCCGGGCAGCCATTCTCTGGTGCTCACACAGCTGCCCTGGAGAGAATGACAACCACTATCTTCACACTGTGATGGCTACTTTTGTAGCCAAATATCCCAGGACCAGGCCTGCTGACTACACAGGGTTGAACTGCCTGATGTGGACCCCCATCCTGAGAGCCCCTCTAGCAGATGTGGGAACATGGGAAGAATAGTTATCCATATCTATCGTTATTTCACTGTGGTGCATGTAAGCCTGGCTATACACAAAGAAGCCTGCATTTTCTATGTTCCAGATTAAGCCTGCAGCCCCCAGAGAGCAGAGTGCCAGACAGGAAGGCCCTCTGCCTCTTGCCAATTGAAAACTGTGAGTAACCTCAGAATTTCTAAAATGTGCCCAAGTCACAGGGTAGACAGCAAATTCGGATCTCTTTAGGAAGCTCACACATTTGGAACTGTCATCTCTATCTAGCAGGCTGGTCCACCACGAGGTGTGCTTCTCCTCAGCTCTCAGCTAATTTATGCAGAGGGGGAGAGGGGAAGAGGAGAGGGAGAAAGAGAGAGGGAGGGAGGTCATAAAAATGCATCGTTGTAAATACACATTGAACTCTGTAAGAAAATGTTTGCCAATTGTGTGAAGCAGCACACAAGGGCATAAGGAGATTTGTTGGGCTAACATCCTCAGGGATGGCATTTACTGGATTGTTAAAAACCACTCATGAAGCTGAATATGATGGTTCACACCTATAATGCCAGAACCTAGAAGCTGAGGCAGGAGGATTCCCATAGGTTCAAGGAAAAGTGAAACAGAACATAAAAACAAATAGGCTTCATGGGACTAATCTTCAAGTCCAAAAGATAAAGGATGCCCTAAAACTCCAAGATGTGTTGGAGTTCAGATGTTTCACCCCACGCTGTAAATGCGCCCCCCCCTTCTTGCCAGAACATAGATGTGAGCTTCTTAGGGGAAGAGCTCTCCCAGGACAGAAACCACCAGTTTTACAAGCAAGCCGTGGAAGAAGGGGGGTCCTTAGAGTGTGGTCAGGATGTCAATCCCTCCTTTCTGGCTAACCAGGGCTTTTCCCAAGAGGATGAATGAATCCTGGGGGCAGACCACGTGTTTAAATTGACCTTTTAAAACCCTTTGGAATCACTTCACAAATAAGTATTTTCAGATGGGCACCTGAGGCACCATGAGGAGCTGAAAAGAGAAAGTACCCAAACTCTGCCTTTAGTGCTTCTGGGAGGTGAAACACCAAGAGACAGACTTCAGATTTCAGCTGTGAATCTAGAGGATGAGGACCTTCCAGGGATTAGAACACAGAGATTAAAACAAACATTAAGGTGATATTACATTCTACTCTCGACACTTTACAAAGAGCAGTGGTACTCTGCCCAGTAGCATAGCTAGAAGATAGAAGCTTGGTTTAACAGGTTCTGTGAGTGTCTACGTCTGCCTGGACCATTCATGGCAGAGCTGGCCCTGTCAGATAAGTGCCCGAAGACTGTCAGGTAGGGAATAACCCGTGGAAATAACCTGTGGAGGCAGCTCGGGTGGAGAAAAGATTCTGTCATCTCTTAGCCCATTACCCCATCCTTAATCACAACAGGCAGTGTCCCCCACCCCCCACCAGATCTGAGGAACAGAAAACAAAACAAAACAAAACAAAAAAACGTTATCTTATCAGCTGTTTGGAAAAAGCCCTGTCATTTGATCTGTTTATTTGGAAGAAACCCGTCTGAACTCAAGAGTTTGCTATGAGGCTGAGTGGAGGCAGTTCATGGAGGGTCTGCTGTTTCCACCAGCTCCCTGGCCCCAGGGCTCAGCTGGTCCCTGCTTCATCAGGGCCCAGGCTGGGCTTCTGCGGCCCTGAGAGGTGAGAGGGGACCACCTGTGCTCTTCAGTAGGGTGGTGGTGGACCCCTGCCCCTCCCACCGTGGTGGAAACATAAGAGTACCCGGTTTAAAATGGGAACACTCCCCTGTCCATTCTACCTCTATCATATGCTTTCTAACTCAACTGCTCAGAGGCAGGCAGTCCCTCCAGCTGGACTAAGGGCATGGCCACCTTTCCATCTTTGGAGAAACCTGGATAGTAGCAGGGTCCACAGACCTTTCCTTGCAGCCTTCCCTCCTGGATCACTGTCAAAAACTCAGACTTTCCACCTATTTCCAACAAGCTCATTAGTGAGAAATGCCCAGAAAAAGGGAAGTCAGCTTGCATCTCTGATCTGACTGCATAGAACAATCTGTGAGTCTCCAGGAGCAGCTGACGCTAATCCGCGCCCCCCCCCCCCCAGTCCTCCCGGCCCAGAGCTGAACTCCCCAGGGTGGGAGGGCAACCTCTATGCCTCTAACTAAGCAGGGGAACCAAAGCAATGTTTTTCCCTGTCGGCAGAGAGTTCCTGCTGCAGCTGAGTGTAGCTCTGATCAAACCTCAGGCATGACTCCCCCTCCCTGTCGACCCTGAAGTTTTCATTTAATGAAAAAAAGCAAGAAAGTAGGAACAGTCACTCAAACAAAACCCAACAACTCAGACTCAGAGGAAACAAGCAAGAAGTGGCATGCAATACCAGATTGCAAGCCTGGTACTACTGAGAGAGTGACCCTAGGGGAAAGGGACCCTGGCCAGCCTGTATCAGCAGAGGCAGGCGATACGTGCCCGGAGTCCCGAGCTCAGGCTCCTCCCCTCATCCCAGCACTCACCTGCGATCCCCTGCAGGAGCCCGCAGACGTTGAAAATACTTTTCCTCATGATACTCTGCACACACATGGTGAAGATGGACACCAAGGCCACCACGCAGAGAATGAAGATCCCCACCGCCAGGAAAATAGCAGTGGCCTGCCAGAAGCCGCTGGCGATCTCCCCGAAGCTCTTGGCGTAGGTCCCACACAGTGTGTCCCTAGGGGTTTGCTGCATGCCGGGCGTGCGGATGCAAAGGATGCCCAGGTAGTAGGGCTCCGAGTCGGTGTCTGCCGGCTCAGCGCCGCGGGTCTTGGCTTTTCCGATCAGCCAGTCTGCGCTTATGAAGGCGACGAGTTCGGCAAAGGCCACTACGATACTCAGGAGGGTCCAGAGCATCGAGCGGCAGGTGACAATGACATGACACATATTGATGTTCGCGGTGGGAAAGCCAGGCAGGAGTCCACGGGGTCAACTCAGACAGCGGTGAGATTCGAGGGGGCCCGGGAAGGAAGTCGCGGCAAGAAGGGTCGCTTAGTTCCGCGGTCTGAGGCGGCAGAAGCAGTGAGGTCCTGGTCCCGGACTGGCGGCATTCATGCGGAGTGGGAAGTCCTAACGGCCTCTGGCCTCACCTATGTCCAGAGAGGAGGAGAGTGAGCGGCTGCCCAGGCTCCGCCCCACCCTGCGCCGCCCCCACCCGGGACGCCCGCCACCTTCCCGCCCACCTTCCCGCGCTCAGCTCCCAGCCCCCAGCCCGGGGCACTTTCTGGATGCTATTGTTCCTCCTTCTTTGTGGCAGCACCAAGTGTGGGGCGGTGAGGGACCTTATCTGGCTCCCACAAATCTTCTGCTGGGGCACTCGCAACTCGGGACACTGGCCCAGCAGCCAAACATCACAGACAGATGCAGGCGTGGCTGGCAGAGAACTTTGTCAATGCTCTGGAGGCCCCTTGTAGAGTTTGTGAGACAGTGGCCGGCCAGGGCTGTGCTATCTCACATGAGACAAGTAAGTTCTCTAAAACACCAACAGGTTTTGCTATTTAACCACAGTAAGTAACGACCTTCAACCACTTGGAAATCAGATCACCGGTATTTGATTCCTGGCTGAGTCAGAAAGTAAAGGGAAGTGATCCCAGGAGAACGAATAAGCAAGCCATTCCCATCCACTCACATATGTTAGAGAAGTTAATTTGTGCTGGTTAAAACTTTTCGGTCACGACTTAAGAAAACTATTCAAAATGGAGCGTTGACAGTTAACTGGGCACCACTACAGCGGGACCCTCTTGTTGACCACATAAAATTGTCCTTGAAGAATGCATCTCTTGAATTGTCCCAATTCATCTCACGTCCCTTGGCCTGAGTTCCCATTCACCCCAGGTCTCAGACTCAACATGCTCATTGTTTGTGATATCACAGAGAGCTCATTCTTGCTCCTGAGGACACATGACTCCATTACCAGAGGACTTTTGCCCCAGTGGCTCAACCTTCCTTCAGAGTTTGAACCCTCAATCATGGGCTGGCACTGCTGGTCTGCAGCCCGGCTCCTCTGTCCCCTCTCCAAGGTCAGGCAGGATCATACAGCTCCTATCTGACTTCTGGGCATAAGGCCCTGCTCTGAACGACTCCATCTCATTAACCGAGGTCATGGCAACGCCATGAGAACAACTACAAAGAGCCCCTTGACAGGCTGGGGCTTGGGTGAGGCAGGCAACTGTGGGAGCAGGAGAGAAATGGGGAAATAAAGTCCACTGACGAAGCTTAAAATGGTGATCGGTATGCCACACACCAGCATTCTGCTTGCTGGCTGACACTCTAGGGAGTGGTGACTGTACTCATCCTATGAAACATGAAACAGAAGTATTTTAACCCTACTACAGTAGTTACATGATATGCTATTCCTAAGACACAGTCTGCAGAATACGAAGGACATATGCACGTAAACTACCAGGCTGTGCTGGGCCTGGTGAAGGGAGAGGTGGTGTGTTTCACTATAAACCTTTTGGAATCCCTCAGATCTGGGCTCTACAGCCAACACCGTCGTCACTGCCTGGCCATGTGGATAGGTAACTTCTAGTGTGTCATTACAACTGTATTGGCTGGTTTTGTGTATCAACTTGACACAAGCTGGAGTTATCAGAGGAAAGAGCCTCAGCTGAGGAAATGCCTCCATGAGATCCAGCTGTAAGGCTTTTTCTCGTTTAATGATCAATGGGGAGGGACCGACTCATGGTGGGTGGTGCCATCCCTGGGCTTCTGGTCCTGGGTTCTATAAAAAGATGGGCTGAGTAAGCCATGGGAAGCAAGCCAGTAAGCAGCTCCCCTCTGTGGCCTCTGCATCAGCTCCTGCCTTCAGATTCCTGCCCTGCTTGAGTTCCTGTCCTGACTTCCTTCAGTGATGACCAGCAATGTGGAAGTATACGCCAAATAAACCCTTTCCTCCCCAACTCGCTTTTTGGTTATGGTGTTTTATCACATCAATAAAAACCCAAAGTAAAACAACAACCTGCATGGGGACTGCAAGGCTGCCTATCCCTTACCAGGCAGTTGTGAGGGATGAACAGGAGCCTGTGAAAGCCCCACCCCCACCCCCGCCACGCCCCAGCAGCACCACTGAGCCAGCAGAGGCGCTCAGGTAGGCCAGAGGTCGCGATGATGGAAAGACTGAACAAACACTGGCTATTTAGCGATGACGGAGATGTCACTCGTGTCTAAGTCTGCCTGCTGGTGACCTCTCTCAGTGCCTCTGCACTGTGTAAGCCAGACCTCCGAATTCTACTGGAGGGAAAAAATTAGCATGAAGCCCAAACACAGGTGTCACTTGCAAGCACTTCTTACCACATACTGCAACACAGAAAAGCCTCTGAGAAACGAGAGAGCATCACGGGCAACTGTTTATAATGGAAACGATCGATCGTGCTGGAGGAGAACTGGAAAAGGGGCCAGGAGGACTCCATGGAGGCCCGGGGGGGGGGGGCTCACCTGCCCTGTCTGTTAACAGAAGCAGAGAGACCTCTGAACCGACACCACCCCCCCCATGCTCGCCCCTCCAGGGACTGACTGGAAAAGCAACTTGCTATTACTTCCAGCCTTGTCCCTGTTCACTCTGAAATGGCTTTTCAGAATGTATTTGTCCGGTACTGAACTGTGGGGCTCTGTCCCGAGCTCTCACTCAGATGGCTTTCCTGCAGTGCTGATGCAGTCTCCATGGCTTTGCTGCAGCCTCCACTGTGCTGCTGCAAGGTCTGCTCTGAGTCAGGAGTGTGATGAGGCTGTGATCTCCGAAGAGAGAGGCTGTGAAACTTCAGGCCTGCAGGCTTAGTAAAATTGTCCCTGCCAGATTCAAGGCAGCATTATTTATGGATCCACATGTTTAAGCGTGGAAAACAGAGCACTTTTCCCATCTGCACCCAAAGAACACTTCCTCTCCCCCAAACAAGGTCCCATACCAGTAACAGGATGGCTGAGGCGAGGTCACTGGCCCTTCTGAGCCTCCCAGCAAGTTTTCTAACTGCTGCCCACAGCGAAAGGCCATGATAGTCTAGGCAGTCTAACAAGGCAGCTTAGCCAGCTCCAGCTCCCAGCGGAGTCAGGGTAGCTGGACAAGGGGCAATCTGGAAACTCAGCAGGGGACTTGAGTAGGTAGTGCTCTGTGAAATGTCCCCATTTGGTTAACTGCACTGAAAGGCAGCCACCTGCTGAGACAACCTCTCTGTCAAAGGAGAAATAGATCTTCATTATAGATCTTTGTTAACCACAGGGGCCCCAGGCTCAGTATCCTCAGCAGGGACACTCACTGATGCTAACTGCCATCTCTGTCCCCACACTCCCTCATAAACCACCTGGGAAAAGCCACTAAGTACATCTCCTGTCTACCACACCCTGCCTTACTGTCACAGGCATAATGATTGTGGGTCACCTGGGCAATGTTATAAAACTGTCACGAAGACCCACAACACAAGTCTCTGGGGGGAAACAAAAGAGGAGGCTGACACAGGAAGTGGCAATAATCTCATCATCCAAATAGAGAGCGAGGAGGGTTTATAAAGGCGGGGCGTTGTATCCTGACTGTAGTCTTCACAAGCGCCAACTGCACGAGAAAGATGTGCACAGCTGGGGCGTGCACCTTAGAATGTGTGCATTCCAAGTTCCTACGGTCAGAAGGGACGAAGTGCACACAAAACCAGAATGAGGTGGTGCCCGCTGGCCAGCTTTCTTAGATTACTAGAACACTTAGATTACTGGAACAAAGTTCATCTCCACCCAGAAGGTGTAGGGAAGCCAGGGATGTCAATCAATGCCACAATGCATCCTACACTCCCAGCTTGGACAGGAGAATAAGGTGGGGCCAGGGCTCTAACCCACTTTGCATCTGCTTTTCAACTGGATGATGATAATGTCAAACACAGACATACATCGATAAGAATAGACAAGCAGCCAAGATTCAACATTTGCTGTTAATACCCCCTTACTTTTTTCCTGCTCTAAAGCATGTACACAGGTTTTTTTTTAGCCACTTGCAAATACGATGTCCTAATACCCTAATATTCATCCCTAAATGCTTTAGCACACACCCCCTAAAATAAGGATATTTCCCCACATAGCTACAAGACAAGAAAACAGTCTACTTATATCCAATGCCTTGTCTATAGTTTAACAAGCCTACCTGCTCCATTTTTACAGTCTCCTCCCCCCCACCAAAGCTGTGACTCAATCAGCAGTCATAAATTGCATTTCACCCACTCCCACGTTACCCCTGAAGGCATTAGGGCTGTCACCTTAGGAATACCCAACTACCTGAGTTTGACTCTTTCTTCTTGTCACTTAAACTTGTTGTCTATGGTCTGCTTCACAGAAATGGGATGTTCACTCGCAGGGGTTCAGCTTAGGAACTTGCAGTGAGCATCCTTTGGAGGCGTGGCCCTTTGATCCCCCCCCCCTCCTTGCTAGGCGGACAGCACTAGTATCACAGACCCCAAACCAAAACAACTTGATGCATATCCATGGGTCACAGGAACTCAGACATACCCTTACTCACTGTGCCCAGGGTTTTCTCTAGGCTGATAAGGAACCCGAATCTATAGAGAAAGATGGGAGGTTTGAAAGTGCCCTGGGTAGATTCTGTTGCTACCGTTCTATTCAAAGATGATACCCTGAAGCTAGAAGGGAATGCTACTTCTCAGCAATGAGTTCTGTCTCTCCTTGTAACTCAATCGTGTTTTATATATGACCCATAAAATTTTAATTTAATTTAGGACCCGCATACCTAGGAAGGGAGGTAAACCCCAAATGACCCCTCCTTGGGAAGTGTACTTGAACTAAGAAGACACAAGTCACATAGAGAAAAGCTTTCTTGCAACCAGGAAGGTCATAACTGAACAGCAGCCCGGAAGCCTCTGGATGGTCTGAGAATCTATAAAAAAAAAAAAAAAAGGACAAACTAGCACAGTGAGGTGGCACTCACCTTTAATCCCAGAGGCAGGAGGATCTCTGTGAGTTTGAGGCCAGCCTGGTCAAAAAGCTACACAGAGAAACCCTGTCTCATAAAATAAAATAAATAAATAAAAAGAAAAAAAGGAAAGAAAAGGACAAGCTCAGTGTCCTCTGGCATTGCTCTCTGCCCACTCCTATAACCCCAGCAAGCTATACTACCACACTGGGAGAAGAGC